TTATCTGGACACGTCAAGCCAACTCGCCGCCAGCTTACCTTATCCTTATCTTATCCCTTATCCCTCATCTTATCCTATCCTTATCTTTATCTTATCTTAAGTAAGAGTGTGTTACCAATAGGAGTAGGAAATTAGGAGTTCGAGTTCAAGTTGGAGTTTGAGTTTAATTAGGAATTTCCTTCTGTAATCTCCTATTTAAGGAGCTACGAATTGAAGTAAAGCATTCAGTTTTCCAGTCAAGAAAAGAGTGAGGAGAGTTCAGGTGGTCTCTTGGACAAATCACCCATTCAGTTTCCGCAATAGGGTCTACTCGCAAGGGCAAGGCGCAAGGAAAAGCAGGGCTTTTGCTCCGTGGACCGACCCGCAACGGGATCCTACGCGAGGGACCATAACATTTCTGGTGAAATGGGCTACCATCCAGTCTTTTCAGAGGCTTTAACTTTAGTCACTTCTACAGCCACTGGGATAGAATCATTTGGGATGAAGACTTTGTCTTATGACCTGTACTCTGTTGTCTCAATGTGCTGTTTGTGGGGTTCATTTCAGTGCTTTATATTAAGGGAATCTCTCCCTTAGTTTTTACTTTCCATATTAATAAAATTTCTTTTTCACCTTTCAAAAAAATAAATAAATCAGCATTTAACATAAGGTAAAACAAGAGATTGACCTAGCCTAATCACCTGAGCAATTAACTCTGTCATTGCTTCCAATCTATCCAAATAGGCTATTAGTGAACTATTATATAAATTCAAAACAATAAAAAAATGACCTATGAAAGTACAAATTAACTTGATAGATAATACAATTTGTAGGTTCAATCATGTCCCATTGCAGACCACTGCAATGGACCATAGGACGGGAATTGAGTCCAATAAGCGATCAATTAAACTGTTTTCTCTATCAGAGAAGTATTTATTCTTGACACGTGTATGTCTTCAATCAATTATTGGCAATACTATTTTAAAAACAAAATGCACAGAATAGCATCTATTAAATTGCATTCTGTTGTAAAACAATAATACATGGCTAAGGTGTCATGTCAAAGGAATAAATACATTTGTTGGGATCCCAGTAGCATGTATAAATACATAAATGAGAAATCAGAAATTAAATTAGTCAGTGAGCTGTTATCATGGATGGATGATCGAAGCCAAAATTATTATAAATAGAAAACATGTCAATTTTGTCCAAAGGTAGCAGAAAATGATATATCAGAATAGATACATAAAAACACACACATGATTTTCTAGTACTAAGCACCTAGAACTAGAATGTATTTTAACAAACTTCATCGACAAAAAGCATATAAATCCATGTCTTACTGTCAATAAGAACTTTGCACATATAATATGCATCAAAGTAAACACATTAAAATGAAATGAATAAACAAGGTTAATATTATACAGCATACCATTTTAGCTGGGAGTATATTTCCAAAACAGATAGCACCCTTCAATTCCCTAGAAGAAAGGTAGACAAACAAAAATCAGATAAATAGATGGGTTGGTGACGGGAAATTATAGCATTCATAACAATTGATTTTCCGATCAATTAAATACTAACTTCAATATGTTCAAATTTTAAAATTTCAAAGGAAATGAGGTCTTCTACAATATGTTACAAAACCAGTTGTCCAAGTGGAGATCCATTTATAAGACGAGTTTTAAATTTCAAAGCATAAAACATTGAAGTAAGATAACGTGTATAAAGCTAGAAGTAACAAGTTAGAACTAATAATAAGAAACCACGAGATCCACAAATCATTCAAATGCGAGCAAATGGAACATAAAATCTCCGACTGCATAATGAGTCTAAACTTCAAAGTTTAAATGCCAGAGAAAATAAACATTTACAACCAAAAATAACAATAAGGAACCGAGAATCCAACCTGAACTATTTAACTGCAAGAAAATCCAATGCAAGATGTTTAATCAGTTTTAACAAGTTGAGATCTACTTGCATGACAAGTCAGAGCAGATAGAGCAAACTATGATCCAAATTATTGCCCAAAAATAGCAAAATAGAAAGACACGCAAGGGAAAGCAGTTTTCTGAACAAATGGAACATGAAGACGATTATACAGAAAGGGAGAAATAAGATTCAAAGGAAGAATAGAAGCGATATCAAAATTCTCCAGTTTAATCATACATTCTGTAACTCTACCCAATGTAATTAAGAGTATAATTCACCTAAATAATCCAGTAAAAACCTATATAGACAGGAGGAATTCTAGTTAATATGAAACAACCAATTTTTCATAAATAGAAACAGAATAATTTGGGGCACAAAATCCAAAACCTTGAGGAGATAGAAAGCGTTTGAAGAAGAGAGAGCAGCGGTCTCGAAAGCTTGGAGGTAGAGACGATTGCAGCCCTTTCTTATGAGACTTGAGGGAAGTCACAGGGCCGCCGAATCGTCGACTATCGGTAACAAAGGTTACACGCAGGCTTAGGCTTACATACCCAAGAAACGGGTAGAGAGAGAGAGAGAGTAAAGCAGAAGGAAAAAAGCTAAGATGCTATTTATGCGTATTGCGTATAATGCACGCTAGTCTCCCTGCTTTTCTCATATCAGCTTGCCACCTCGGCGTAGGACAAGCAATGTCAGATTAAACAGTAAGGCCTCGTTTGGCATCATTCTTATATATTTCTATTTCTAAGGAAATTCTTATTCTGAACGAAATCCTATTCCTGTAATCCTGTTTCTTATTCCTGACAAACAAATGACTTGTTTGGTAAATTGTTTGGAAGGAATATATTTCTGTTCTATAGAAAAAGGATGTTTGAACATCCCTATTAATTCTTTAAAAAAAATTGTTATAAGTCCTCAAACTTAACCAATAAAAAAACCAAACACCTTTAAAGTCTTTACATGGTTTACAAAATAATTAAAATAACTGAAAAAGATTGGGGGAATAATAAAAAAATGAAAGAAATTACAAATCATTTAAAAAATCATGCTTACCTCTGAAATTGTTGGGTGCCAATAAACCTCAGTGAGAGCCGCAAGTCCAAATTAAGAATGCTTGTATATCAATGAATTAAAAATGCTGGGAAATAATAATATAAACAAATATAAAATTATTAATTCATATATATATATATAATATGTTGATCATTAACATAGGAGATATATACAAAATTTAAGCCAATTGTCACATTGAGTCAGTTGAGATTGTGGAGGCAATAAACCAAATTAATTGAAATTTGATTAAATTTGATAAATCAACCAATTTAAATAGTTTTGGTTGATTAAATTTGATTTTATTTTGAATTTCTAAATGAATGCTTTCATTTCTCACAATATACATCAATTCCTCAAAGATGTTCTTCTTTAATCTCTTATTAATTCCTTTTTTTTTCGAAAATCAAAGTTAACAGAGTTTACCACAATCTTGTTAAATGAAAAACAAACAAATACTTCAACCCACGAAAAGCATGGATTTAAAATCCGAGAACCTTTAATAATGCACAGATGAAAAGCTGAATTTTGGTGATAAGATTTGCCAAATAGTGGTTGGTAGCAAGAAGGTGAAGAAAACGGAGTGCTAGAGCCATTATCTGGTCTAGTTGGAAGAAAGAATAGGGCTTTTGTGTACAATATCCTTTTTCTTTGGACAAAAGGACAATCATGCCCCTCTTATACATAAAAAGCAAAAACACATGTCCTTTTTTTAGAGAAATTATCTAAAACTCACCATGAGTTTTCAGCATTTCTCTTAAACCCATCACAACTTTTCAAAATGTCTAAAACTCACCATGTCACTAACTTGATGGGTGTTAATATATTACCATTTTAATATTTAGACATGAAAAAAGGAAAAAGTTCAAAAAAATTTCAAATATAAAATACATAAAAAATTATAAAAATTGCAAACAAAATAAAAAATTATTTTCAAATTATAGAAACTATGGAAATTGAAAAACAAAATCAGAAAGTAAAAATTGTAGAAAAAACACCAAAATTTATAGAAAAACACAAAAAAATTGCAAACAAATAACAAAAAATACAGGAAAATTTATAGATTGTAGAAAATAGAAAAATGTAAAAAAAAACAGAAATTATAACAAAACACTAAAAAAGCAAAAAAAAAAAACAAGAAAATTTAAAACTGAAAAGACCATTTTTCCTCTAACTCACCATTCAAGGGTAATTTGTTCATGAAAATTGTTATTTATACTGACATGGACACCTCTGTTAAGAAGCATTAACGGTGCACTAACATAATGTGAGTTTTGGAAATTTATTGACATGGTGAGTTTTAGACATTTTGAAAAGTTGTGGTGAGTTTAAGAGAAATGTTGAAAACTCATGGTGAGTTTTAGACAATTTCCCTTCTTTTAATTTAATTTAACGTAGTGGAACACAATTCCATGGGACGTGTGTTTTTCGGAGTAACAATTTTGTCACTGTCTAAAAACAAGTTATTGGCACCCTGTTCCTAGAATAGGTCGTTTCTTTCTACATGAGACGTCCATGTGTGTTTTTGTTTCGCTGGAACATCTAGAACGTGAAAAATGTTCCCATAGAATGATATCAAACAGGGCTTAATATACCAACTTCACAACATATCTCAGCCACACATCGAGAACATCTCTCGTATTTGTATCTTATTATTTATAGGAGGTATCTACATGGTTGGATGTGGTTGTGAGGTTGGTGTGAGGAGCACTCTATGAGGAGTAAATCCCAATTCGGTGCTATTGGCACACTATGATGTGTGCCAGTTAGGTTTGGCTCTTCTAGTATTTTTTTTTCATTCTTATTTTGGGGTTTATGGAACAACTGTATTTTTATTTTCATTTTATTTCTATTTATGGAGTCATACCCTCTGTTAGGGTGCAACTCAGGTGGGTTGGGTATGACTGAAGTCAGTCCATGCTCAAAAGGTACAAACCTTCGGCTCAAGCTTGGCCCAACCCAAGATCAAGCCCAAGTTTATCAATCCAGACCTACCTTGAGCTTAACCCAACACAACTTGAGTTGGACTTAGCTTTAGGTTGACATAGTCAGGATAGTCAGGTTGGGTGGGTTCAAAAGAATTTATGGATACATTTTTATATGGTTATTATTCATTGGGTTTTATGTCACAACTTAAGAGTATAATCGATTGAAAATAGATACAAATTACATTTGCAAATGTATACCTTTCACGAGCCACTCAAACTCGGCTTGTGAAGAGCTTGATTCAATTTGATCTAAACCGAGCTTTGAGCTGAGCTCAGCCTAATAAAACTTATATTATATTTAATATTTTTAAATAATAATAATAATAAAAAATGATTTTTATATGTATACATTTTTATTTTTATATTAAGCTTGGCCCACCACCATCGAACTCGAGATGTGCCAAGTTCAAACACATGAACTCTTGAATCAAACCAGATTCAAACTCGTGTTTCTAGTTTGAATAGCTAAATATTCACTTGGATTGAATCTGGTTTGAATAGCTAACTTTCATGACTTACGCAATACACAAGACAAGTAATCACCATATATATATATATATATATTGTATATTTTTCAAATCAAGAAACCTTCAAATCTATTAAGTAGAAGTGCTTACAAAATATACACGCAAAAAGGTGGGCTGCTTGGTTGTAATATCTAGATATATGTATAAAGTCTATAGATTCAAAAGAACACATCAGTCTTCTGAGGTAGCTTCTGTGTAGTAGCTCGAACCATTGAAAGACTAGATCAGACTTAGCGAATTCGACTAGCGTTGCATTATCCGTATATACCAAAAGATGTAGAATCCCTTTTGCATAGGCCACATGCAATCTCTTAACATGGCTCGAATTTCAACTTCATAAATGTTGATTGTCTAGCAAGGGCTTCCTTCCATATCCCGAATTTGGATCAAAAGAGCCATTAGTAAATAAGATTGATCTATTGATATGCTGCAACTGGTTTATGGTATGTGTCCCGGGTTGTAGTGACTGGGATGGAGGGATTTCGATGGAGAAGCTTCCGACGGCTCTAACTATTTGTTCGGGTTCGTGCCTTATGTTCTAAAAAATGTACTTATTTCTAACTTCCCATATGTGGTATATGCTTACTGCAAATTTGCAGAGACTTGTTAAAGCTTGTTGCTTTCCTACATTTTGGTACAGCGACGTGTACCATTCCGTGATGAGATGTGGTATGGTAGCAGGATTTAAGCCAATCTGTACCCGACGCACCATACTGTTCTCGCAAAATGACACTGGAAAAAGCAAGTGATGGGCCAATTCTTCTTGTGCCTTACAGAACACACAAAGTTTGCCTGATTCACGCAGCCAAACACATATGTTTTTTGTGAATAGTCCATCCCAGAGGATTTTCCAGAGGAAGATTTGGAACCTAAATGAAACTTTGAGTTTCCAATAATCTTCCGGTCAAAATGGGTGGCCGAACATGAAAGACCCCGAGAAGATAAGAAGTGGAAAGCTGATTTTACTGTATAGATGCCCGAGGCATTATTTTTCCATATCAGAATGTCGATGGAATGGGTGGTCACGATGATATATTGGATGGTAAAAGGTTGGTAGAGTTGCTGGAGTTTGGAGAGATTCCATGAGACTTCTGGGTTCAGTAGGTTTGAGATCATCAAAGCCGCCACTTGCCTTTGGGGAAGTGATGTATTTACATGGGGTATGTGCCCCGGCAGTGACGGAACCCAAGGATCTGAGGTTGCGGAGACTTCTGATCCATCCTTAATAGATCACAAAAAATTCGAACGCAGTATGGGTATTAACTGATGAACTTGCTGCCACCATTGAGAACTGCGCTTATCTTTTTTTAACGCAAAGTAGGAGGTGTGAGGAAAGTACTTGGCTTTAATCTATTTGCTCCAGACTCTTCTTATCCATTAGCAATCTCCATATTTGCTTTCCAAACATAGCTTGGTTCATAGCACTATAAGTTCTAAATCCCAAACCTCCTTGGCTTTTTGACTAGCAAATTTTGCTCCAAGGGATAGTATGCATTGAAGTTCGACCAATATCTGCCCACCAATAAGACTTGGTCAACTTGTCAAGTTTGGAGGCTGCTACTTTCGGAAGGATTAAAGTTGACATCGAGTAGATTGGGATGGACTGTAAGACCGACTTGACCAGCGTGGTTCTACCAACTTGTGAAAGAAGTTTGGAACTCTAGAAGTTTATCTTCGTAGATACTCTTTCTATTATCTCCTTGTGGGAGCAATAGAGCCAAGTGTTTGTTCCCACTTGTGCCCCAAGGTACTTAGGTGCCTATGATTGGCTTCTTTATCTGCAGGATGTGAGAGAGAAATTTTCTATGTTGTCGATGAACATTCCTGCTATAATAGATACTTGACTTGGAGTGGTTAATTTTTTGCCTTAACATATCTTCAAAAACTCTTAGAATGCCGACTAAACTTTTAACTTGTGCTATGTCAGCTTTACAAAAAAGAATGCAGTCATCTGCAAACAGTAAATGAGTGATAGGAATTCCATCACGACTTATTTTAACTCCTTGAATTTGTCCTGAAAGTGAAGCCTGATTCAGGAGCTGGGTGAGAACCTTCATGCCTATAATAAACAGGTATGGGGAGATAGGATCCCTCTACCTAACACCACGGCTCAAATGGAAATGATCATAAGTTTCTCCTGCTATTTTGATTGAGGAGGTAGTAGATATATACTGATAGATCATGTTGCACCATTTCGTGGGGAACTCCATTTTTTACAATACATGGTATAAGAACTGCTAGTCCATTCTACCAAAGGCTTTAGACATGGCAAGCTTAATAGCAATGAAACCTTGACCTTTCTTTTGAAGTTTTAACTTGTGAAGGATCTCCTTCACCGGTAGAATGTTATCTATGACCTGCCTTCCTTTGAGAAACCCTGATTGGAATGGTAATATCATTTCCTACAAGACCGGTTGTAGGCGGACTACCATCTATTTGGTAATTATTTTGTATAGTACATTACATAGATTGATGGGACGGTAGCTAGAGACATCTAGTAGCTGATTATTCTTGGGCACAAAGACTAAGTTGGTGTTATTGATTTTTTTTGGCAAAAACTCTGTCAATTTTTTTTTTTTTTTATCATTGCACAGATGTCTGAACCAATCAGATCCCAAAAGTATTGGTAAAAGTAAGCGGTAAATCCATCAGGAGTAAGTGCTTTATGTGGTTGCAATTGATTAATCACCAAAGTGATTTCTTCTAATGTGGGTGGGTGTAATAGTGATTTTTCGGAAGAGAAACATTGTCAAGCATGCTTGGATCAAAGTTTTCCTGCTGCCCCCAATTTCTAATATTGCTTGTTTAAACACTTGTGCAATGTAGGATTGGTTCAATGACCAACACTACACTATTTTTTGTGTTTTTAAAATTTGCTATGCAATAGAAATATTTTGTATTTCTATCCCCCTCTTTCAACTACAGCTCACGGGATTTGATTCTCCACATTTGCTCTTCTTTCAAGAGCCAATAATTGTATTGACTGGTGAGTGAGTGTAACCGCTCCCACAAGTTTGTGTTCGTAGTATCCATTTGCAGGGTTGAAATTTGGCCAGCCAATTCTGGAATGTAATTTTGGATGTGACCAAAATGATTTTTATTCCAATATTTTAAGGCAGACCTACATAGTTTCAATTTTGTGAGCAGGGGAGCTATGCATGTACTACTCCAAAGGTTCGAGACAAGTTGCTTGCATTGTGGATTGTTTGCCCAAAAGGGTAAGAAATGGAAATGAGGTTTCCTATGAGGAGAAACCGGCTCTGTATCAATAGAGATGGCACCATGATCTGAACTGGTTATGGGGAAGTGAAGTTCTGTTGTCCATTGGTCCATGTGAAGGCTCAAAGTGGACCAGGTTAAAATTGGCTATGAAATTCTGGATGTGCTTAGAGAGGTAGGGCTTGTTTTTCCTATGAGACTTGTGGTCCTCCTCTTAGATATAATTAATATCCCCTATCAAAAGTCAGGGCAGACTAATTAATGAATAATTACAAACATTTTCAAGAAATAATTTATTGATATTTGAATAAATTAATTGTTATTTTTATTATTGTTTTTATTTTAAATTATAAATTTCAATAATTTTAATATTTCAGTGATTAATATTTTCAATTATTTTATATTAATATTTTTATTGTTATTGAAAATATTAAAATAAATTGGTTATTGGAATTTTGAAAAAAGTTTATTATAATTTGGTGTAATTTCAGAAAATTACTTACTGTATTTTGAAAAATGCTTGTATAATTAATGAATAATTACTGATATGTTACTGAATTATTATATATTTTTAAATACAACTAAAATACTGAATTAATGAATTTTTCCGTACATCGCACAGGTCCCGCTAGTAAATACCTATAAATGAATGGCACATTTACATACGGAAAGAATGAGAAGGATCCACTCGGACCACTCCGCTACATATGTTTAGAACTAGATGAAGACTTGAAGAGATCTCACAGCCGTTGTGGACCAAAATCGAATAAAAATCTATAACAAGTTCTTATACAGAAGTTAGGCCTTCCGGGAGTGTTTGCTCATCAAGGCTGGGTGCAAGAAATCTGCGGCAAGCAAAGAGGACAGCCGAATGGAACCCAGAGGGGTTGTCTATGAAAACAAAGTGACCGCCCTGCAATTATCCAAACCATTTTATCAGTAATGAACACATTAAAGTTCTTACATCCTGGTCAATCTACCGTCCCCAACACCAAACTTGATTTTGACTTCTCTAACCTAGTACAGTTTAAACCTTGTCAATACATGCAATATCCCTTTTGGTAGGACCCTAACCACAACAATGATTTACTACCACCCTTGGAACCCTAAACAAATGATGTGCACAGTCAAGGTGTAACTGTTCTAAAAATTCACGGTGAATGGTAGATGATAGTTTTGCTTGCATTCAAGATGGCATTGTGGTTTTCTGAACATGCAGCAAAAGCCAAGATGTGGAAGTGCGATGAGGGTCTACCACAACTTTCATTTGGTGAGGACCTCATGACTTTCACACATACACACGCACATGAGAGAGAGAGAGAGAGAGAGAGAGAGAGGAGACCTGTGGCACCCTTATGATTTCACAGGGAACCTTCATCTCTTTGCGAGCTTCCTGTGCCCCTTGGTAATTCATCCAATCATGAAATCCATAAATAAAGGTGGTAGGCACTTTCCATTCAGATGCACTGCAAACAAGAAATAAAAGAAAAAATGGCACATAAATATCTCAGGAACAGTTGGCTACACAGAGGAAGTAAAGGGGAAAGGTGAATTTCTGAGGGTTTCTAATGCTTCGAATATGAATAGAAAGAAAAACTTCAGGATCTTTTCTAAACTGCCAGCCTTCAATGCAAGTGGGATACACAAACACATACAGAGATAATGGACAACACTAAATCAAGAAAAAATAGTAAATAAACTAGTCTCCAGACCTGCGAAGGAGGGGCATCCGGGCAAATGCTCCAAAGGAAAATATATACTTCAAGCACAATTCTCCACTAGCTTTGGCGGCCAGAGTATGGTATACATAATCTTCCATTGAAACAGTAGTTATCAGATAAGCAGCAGGTTACTAAATGCAAGTTTGTATTATAAAAGGAAAAAAAAAAGAATAAAAATAAAGATAAAAAGATGGAACTACCTGTAAGCAACCTGGACTCCTCTTCAGTCAGTACGTCCCCAGTTGAATATGTACCAAATCTAGCACTTGTATACCTGCGAACTAGATCTGGACCCCAAGGGCCTAAGCCTCTGCAATTTAGGTATGATACAGAAACTAAAAATTTAGTGGATGAAATATATAATTTAGACCAAGGGAACTTAAGGAAACAAAAAGCAGACCATATTACCATATTTTATTACAATAGCATGAATCAGTAGAAACAAACATGGGGATAATAAACTATGTATCAGTAGCAACAAATAGATCAAACTACATACCCTTAGAACCCTAAACAAATGATCTCCATTATGAATGGAGATCTCCATCGCATTTCTGCAGTGAGAAACATTTTCCCAAAATAGATGGTATAATGGTAAAATCTAGTGCAATAAAGTGAGAAACTTCATGCAAAATAACGACAAAGATTAGGTCCATATGTAGGCCACCCCACCCAAGATCCCAGATAGCTGGGACCAGTGTAGCAAATATGAACTGCAGTTTGGGTTATCACCTTTTGGAGTTTCTATATATAAAATATGTGTAGAATGTACCATATCCACAGAAGACAAAAACTTCATTCTGAAGGGACTCTATAGAATTTCCACTATAAATAATTTTCGTTCTTTTTTTGAACTCACACTCTCACGCTTCTCCCTTCTCCCTTCTGACGTTTTTCCTTTTTTTTTTTTTTTGAACTCACACTATCATATCCAACCTGCACTTTCCATATTTGTAACATGTGTGAAATGTAGCCTATCCACATAGAATCCAAACAAATCCAACGAGGTAGAAAACACAGTTCCAAAACTATTATATAGATGCATAGATATGAATAATGAATTGATGTGCAAGAATAGAATTTAATATGGCACCACATGATCAAAAGCAACCATGTGTCGAGAGAAAAGAAAAACATAACAAAGGTAAGGGAGAATTACCTGACAACCTTCTGAGGAGTGAAATTAGACTCCCAGAGATGGTTCAAAATGGTTCCTTTCCATGTTGCTCTGAATCGAGTTAGCCATTCGGATTTTCCATCTGATTCTGATGAAAATCCAGCAGGTCCTATCAAAACCAAGTGTTTAACATGTTCCGGGTGCTGTAAAGAAAATAAAATTGGCATCAATATTGCATTTACATGATGAAATTTCCCCGTGAAATATGTATCAACTGCATATAAACTGCATCACCTTGAGGGCATACTTTGCTGCAACATATCCTCCAAATGAATGTCCTAGTAAAATAAAATTACTAAGATTTTTGGCTTTACGCCATTCCTCAAAGGAATCAATGAACCAAGCTTCAGTTTCTGCATTGAAAAAACCCAAAGTTTGAGAAGGGAAAATGATTTATCTGACAAAATAAATTTTATTGAATACTCATAAATCCTGAGCCTACAATTAATCTGCTAAAAATAGTAAATGTGCATTTCTTATATCCATAAACAAATAATAATAAGGAAATCAATATATAGCTCTTCGTGTCTTTACTCTTTGTTCTGTATACTTATGCAGTAAAGGTTGGAGATGAAACATTTCCAGAGTTTGTTAGTAAGAAGCTCAATAGGAGCCAAATAAGAGAAATTTCACTAATTTACACACTATATATAAACATGCATGGCAAGTGTTAGAAAGCATGACAATGCAACAAAACTCAACATTAAGCTGGACGAATTATGGCACTAAACACACAACAAGAGTCAACAGTAAATGCAAAAAACCAAAAGCTATAATGAAACTAATTTCTTTTGGCAGTTAAATTCTATTACCAGCTACTGGTGTGGCTAAAACTTGGTGGATTCCTATCATTTCTTTATTCTTGTAGGTTAGTGTGCTCAACCAAAAGGTTTGAGCAGAAGAGACAAATGATTATTGCACTATTTATTGGAATGGGGTTTCCTGGATTAGATCTGATAATGATTTGATGTTTTGATAACATTAAAACAACACAAGTTTACAAGATTAAAACTACATATTGATCAGCAACCCTAATAATCAGTCTGAAATCTGAATCATTTCATCTCATATCTTCAGATGAGACTGCTACATTTGTGGGCCTAATTTTCTTATCCAAACCTTTGATAGATATAATGGTAGGATGTTGTAATATTATGGCATAGTAAATTGATATCTTTACTCAATTATTGACAAAGAAATAAATGTTTAAAGTTAAACTGCAGGAGAAAGGGGATGCAATCATCAGACGCCCAAAACCTTCTACATGATAAAATGCATCCATAAAAATTTTCTAATAATAAATCTATAACTTTCTCTAGTGATAAAATGAATCTTGCATCTAGAACAATTTTCTTTCCTATAAGGTATCAATAAAAAGAGACTATTTTCATTGAACTTTTGAATTTCCCAATAATGTATGAAACAAGTAAATAAAAGCAAGAAGTAAATGCAAAATAGAGTTTCAAGATAACTAACCTTCAGTGCTTTTGCATGTAAAGCCAGGTCTACTTGACCCACCCCACCTGCAAGACAAAATGAGTAAAGAAAAAAATTAGGACCACAAGGATATATCTCATTGAAAACCTTACTACAAATGCATTTCATCCATAGTTATAGAATTACAGGAATGAGAAACATAAAGAAATGCTTCACAGAAAATACTGCAGATGGTAAACTCGAAAGATAAAAGTAGTCCAACAAACAATGGATTTCAGGGAAAAATGTTGGAGGTAGATTATATGATTTTAGCTAATGAGTCCCCCACCACCCACCTATCAAAAAAGGAAATGAAAAAAAAAAGCTTTAAAAGAATTCTTCAGGGTTTTTTTTTTTTTTTGATAAGATGCAATTGAAGGATTCGGGGTTCAACAAATGCCCCTTTGTGCCATACAACATGAAGAATTTGATGAGATGCCTCAAATTAAGCCACTTGAACTCTTAATTTTCCTAACAAAAATTCAAACTTAACAAGTCATGGTATCACTGGAGAACCATGAGAAAAGTTCCTTGACAAGGCTAACTTATCTTGCCATCCCATTTTGTTGCCCCTTGATATGAGAAAGATCTGAAAAATGTTCTGCTGCAATTCAAGTGCAACCAAGGGAAACTTCACTACAGAATATTTAAGTGATTGGCTAGATCGTGATCAACAGAACGTGACAATATCAATAATCCATGATGCCCGAAGCCCTGAATATGGATAAAGATACAGACACATATATGAGAAACAGAGATGACTCTTCATTGCCTAAGATCCTGCAATACCTAACCATCATATTCCACTTTAGTATTGGACGCAGATTAGATTAGGTTAGTCTTAAAATAAGAGTCAAGTTTCCATATCCACAACTAAGTGATACCAAAAGCCCTCTTATTTTCTCTCTTTTGTAAGGGGAGGGAAGGTTTCCAAGTATCTCAATTTTGCATTTATAAAAAAATGCAATTCATAATGAGAACCAGAGAAACAGAAATCAGGAATAAGAAATTATTTCAAGTATGATAAAAAACTGGGCAACATTGAACTCACCCAAGCTGATCAATTGCAATGATCCGGAAATGGCTAGCAAGGGCGTCAAAATTCCGAAAGAAGAATCCTTGAGAAGCACCATAGCCGTGAACCATAACAAGCGTGGGACATTCATCCTTACTGTCAAAAGTGACCGTATTGATAAACCTTGGCTGGTCGCTTGAAGACCGAAACCACCGGATTTTAGAGCCAGGTGGCCCTGATCCTATATTAACCTGTTCTTGTACATACGGAGTTCTGGAACCCGCAAAGTTCACAAAATCAGCTAAAGGACTACATAAATTATTGGCATTTTGACAGCGTGAGCCTCTATCAAGCACTGCGCAACTAGAAAAAGTACGAGTAGCTAAAAAGAGACGGGCTTCAATGCTTATGGAAAACTATGCATCTTTCGTTTGTAAACGAGTTTGAGAAAAGCCGGAGTATAGAATATCCATAGAAACCAAAGGTAAATAGCTTGGGATTTGACTAGTTTCGATTAAAACAAAAGAAAAAAAAAAGGATTTTTGAAACTCAAAACTCGAGATACAATCAGAACTTCAACAGTTACAATTAGGGATTGTTAAAATTCGAATTCAAAGAAACTGGATTCAATCGAGACAAAGAAATATCATAATCACCAAGTACGATACCGGAAAAAGAAACTAAGAGGGCAGAAAAACAATGAAATTCTAGAAATCCCATATCTAGGGCTATTATCCGAAACGTTGCCATGATATAAAATTTCGAGAAATTCAAGTAGAATAATTCTATGTAGATCTGGAAGAGATCAAATCACAAAACTGAATTTAGCAGAATCAAGTTTTGGAAGCGAAACATACTTGACTAACGAGAGAAGACGTTTTTCTGCAGCTATAATATGATCGGTTGAGGTTGGGATCCAACGAAGAACAGAGGGCCACACCAATCTCCGTTTCCATGTCGATGCTGCAGAGGATTCCACGTCAGCCTTGCTGATTTCTTCCGCCATCGTCGCCACCGAGCTCGACCAACGCCTGCTCATTACATTTGAGACCGACAGGGGAGCCGGCTCGAGATAATAACTGCAGTGGCTATCGTGCTCCGCAAGCGAAATATGGCAACCTTTGACTCTCCGGCTGACCAGGTGACGATAACCACTGGAGAGAACACAGAAGGGATGGGAGGTTGGAGGTCGAAACTCGAGAGAGAACTCGCTCCCAGTTCCAGTCTCCCACCACGTTTTCGCGTGAACAAAAGAAACGAAATGGCGGTGACCAGTTTCTGATGGAGTGCACCTACACTCACCATATTCCGAATACGTTATGGATTCGTTACCGTTTATTTTTAGATCTATCAGTTAAAAGACATTATTATATGTGGTCCCTCGATCGTCAGGCCTTCTATGCAGTTTAATATGGTAGATCGTGGACTAGTGCGTAGGGACTGCTGAGGCAACTGGCAACCCCTGTTTTCTGTTTCCAATTTCCGCCTTTTCCATGCGCTGACGGCTAAACTGGAGGCCAATAGCTTCGAGAGAATTCTAATTCTAAGAGCTGCAACGACGTCACTCATGATCTCATGTCCAACTCAGGGTGCGAGTTGGGTCGACCTTAATTCCTAACCTAACCCGAGCTCAGGAATTCCAACCTTAGTCCCATCACCCATGGATCGGGTTGGGTTCGGGTGGGCTGATTCTTTTTGTATGTTCTTATTCTATGTAAAAGGGTATGGTTATATTTAAAAAAGGGAAATTGTCTAAAATTTATCATGAATTTTTAACATTTCTATTAAATTCATCACAATTTTTCAAAATGTCTAAAACTCACCATGTCAGTAAGTTTTTATTTTTCAAAACTCACCTTTCGTTAGTGCAATGTTAATTCTTCTTAACAGAGGTGTCTTTGTTAGCATAAATAACAATTTTCATGACCAAATTACCCTTAAATGGTGAGTTAGAGGAAAAATGGTATTTTTCAGTTTTCAATTTTCTTGTTTTTTCTTTGCATTTTTTTAATGTTTTGTTATAATTTCCAATGTTTTTTTATAATTTCTGTTTTTTTACATTTTTCTATTTTCTACAATCTATAAATTTTCATGTATTTTTGTTATTTATTTACAATTTCTGTGTTTTTCTACATTTTTTTTTCTGATTTTGTTTTTCAATTTCTATAGTTTCTATAATTTGAAAGTAATTTTTTATTTATTTGTAATTTCTATAATTTTTATATTTTTTGTAGTTTCTATGTTTTTTATGTATTTTATATTTGAAAATATTTTTAGACAATTTCCCTTTTTTAAATTTTCTTGTTTTTTACCCTTGAATGGTGAGTTAGAGGAAAAATGGTCTTTTTCAGTTTTCAATTTTCTTGTTTTTTGCATTTTTTTAATGTTTTGTTCTAATTTCCAATATTTTTTTACATTTTTCTATTTTCTACAATCTATAAAATTTCCTGTGTTTTTGTTATTTATTTATAATTTCCGTGTTTTTCTACAATTTTTATTTTCTATAATTTGAAAATAATTTTTTACTTTATTTGTAATTTCTATGTTTTTATGTATTTTATATTTGAAAATATTTTTTTAAAATTTTTTCCTTTTTTCATGTCTAAATATTAAAATAGTAATATATTAATACCCGTTAGTTTGATTAACATCAAGTTAGTGAGATGATGAGTTTTAGACATTTTGAAAAGTTGTGGTGAGGACAAATGCTGAAAACTCATGGTGAATTTTAGACAATTTTCCTTTAAAAAAATGTTGCCTTAACTTAAAAATATTATATAAATATAAATAAATGATTGTATAATATTTATACATAAAAATGTCAGAGATAGGGTTGGATCGGCCAAGTCTTAACCCTAACCAACCCAAAGTTAAATTGGGTTCAAACATTTCAATGATAACTTTAATCCAACCCAGGTTGGGATTGGACTAACCTGGCCCAAGTGCTAACCAATCGTGATTGATCCAACTGTTATTTATTCATTAAAAACTTACGAGGATTTTTTGATTGGTCAAAAATTTTCAAGTACCATACCTCTCCCGCCGCAATGAAATTGGTATTTAGTTATTTACACACGTTCAAGAAAAAAAAAAAAAAAAACACTAACCAATCAGCTATCAAATTTTAGAAATAGATGACACTGAATTCAGAGTTTGGATTGGATACAAGTCCACACTCCACAGAGCGCATCCCATACAATTTCCATGGCACGCGTCAAGCATTCAATTAGAACATTTCCCATACTCGTAGAACCAATCTAAATTCACTGAACTACGGTGTGAATTTATAATGCTGGAGAGTCCAAATTTGGTCACAACTGTCCCCACACAACACCAATACACCACCTGTCATTAAAGTCTGTTTGGGAGGGCTTTTACATTGATTGAGCTGTTTTGGAGAAGCTACATAAGATAACTTCACTAAGGCTGTGTTTGGTTTAAAGGAAAGAGTAGGAAAGTAAAGGAAAAGTAGGAAAACCTTAACAAATCTTGTATAGGCTTTTCTGTCTTTCCTTTCCTTTCTCTCCCTTTTCCTTCAAACCAAATACAGCCTAAAAGGTCAATTTTGCATTTTCTATTAAACCCATTTATGGCTTTCTCGTTTTTATCAAACACAAAGCTTCATGGCATTTTAGGTTTATCAGCTTATTGAACCGTTGCATGAAAGCCCTCCCAAATGGAGTTAGGGTCTCCTACCAATAATACACGTTCCAATACCTTACCAACATAATCTTGATGAAGGGTGATTTGGCCCGACCTCATAGACAGGCGACGCGTGTACGTGACTTGGCATAAGCCAGCTCGGTATAAAGCGAGCTCGGGTATGCTAGTACTCCGAACTAGGATCACCTCGGCCCAAGGACACTTCGGCGTTCGCAAGGGCAGACCAAAGCGCGAGCTCGAGAAGCTCGCTACTCATTAGCTCGCTACCGAGCAGCCCGGTATCCTACAGGTAGCTTATCTATCGTACAGATCTCTGCATGGCCGTCTCGAGGAATACACCCCCATCCCTGAACCCCATAGGACCGTACTTATAACGGTAACATTAGTTCACCAACTCCCCATTCTGACGGGAAGTGACAGTATTACCGTTTGACGGCGCTTCAACCACCTAACACGCGACAGGTTCCATCGTAACAGGGGTTCAATGATCGTTCCACCTACCCACCTGAGCCAGTGTATAAAGACCCCGCTCTCACCAGGGGTGAAGGTATGTTCTATTTTTACTGTTATTGTTGTGCGAAATCTCTACTCTCTGAGCTCCCACTCTTATCACCTTCAAATTCTACACCATCACTGTGTTCTAACTTAGCCATCGGAGTATCCACACCGGGTGAGTCACCCCGGGATCTCTGAGCTCCTCTCTTTCAAGAACCCATCCTCATCAACGTTGGAAGCCAGGTCACCTCCAACAGGGAGTAGACGGATTACGCCACATCAAATCTCATTATGAAATTGTGATCCACCATAAAAGTGGAACTCTACTCAATACTTACCATGTATGAGTTATGCAATGTCAAATCATGTTGGTAGAGTGTTGGAATGTGTTTTATTGGCATGGGATCCAGACTCTCTCTCTCTCTCTCTCCCTCTCTCCCAAATGAGCACATAATACAAGCAGAACAAACACATGTGTGAAACCGATTTCGTCAATTTCACCTCCCTTGACCTCCATCTAAAACACTTTACCTCTTCCTAACCCTAAAATCCTAACTCGGCTTAATGCCTTCTTATTGGTGCTCTCATTAGCGTCATGTGAAGAGATCGACTTCCATTTCGTGCCCACACCGTTTCAACCGTCTTTTGCAACATTGCGTTGGGAATATCTTCCCATAAAATAAAGCACATAAACTGGGAGCTATTCTCAATACAAGGCTATAAAGGCTACTCGAGCGGACTTTGCCCTAATCGAAGTCGAATTCTCATTTGAATCTAAAACCCAGGTACACTTCATTTGCGTTATAGTATTGGAAGAGCTTTGACCAATCAAAATGCCCTTGTGAATTTTGATTAATATCACATGATTGGTCATCTCTTTTATGATGCCAATTGATTGGTAAAGGGATGAGAAATCCATCATATGGATGGCCGAACCATGCAGGGTGGTGGTTGGGCGAAATTTCAGAAATTTTCTTACTCCCATCCGGGAATCATATTCCCAATTTAGAAACCTGCATTTTCAAGGTTCGTTTTTGTAACCAAATCGGACCAAATTTGAAACCAAGATTAAGGAGAGGTATACCTAATATGGAATCCACACAAAAAGCTCATCCCAACGCAGGTGTTCACGCCTAAAGAGAGTACCAAATCCTCCCTCCACCAAAGATAACACAGCTTAGGATGAAGTAGGATCAGCAGGTGGTTCTTCACCAAGAACCTTAGATTCTTCAGCAAGAATCGAATGGGGCAGTGAACACAGCTTCAAAATTGTTTCTTCCAGCAAGAAACAATATCAAGATCAAATATTGATCACTTACAAGAGATGGAGATTGAACAAGGTGGGGCGGCAAGAGCAATGAGAGAGAACTGGAGGCAGAAAACAGTCAAACTGTGTAACCCTTTTCAGGTCCGCCCTGCTCTTTATGTATAGCCCTTAAAGAGATGATCTCCTAATCTGATTAGGAGTTTATTGATCCAAATCTTTATTTGGATCTGAACTCTTTAAGTGATAAGGATAATCCCTTATCTTATCTACAATTCAAGATCAACTACTCTTAATCAAATTAGAAGTTACCTAATCAAATCTCTATTTGGATCTGGACCCTTTAAGTGGACAAGAGTTATCCTCTTATCATCATCTGTTGATCCATACCCAGATTCGCCCCTAATTAATTAATCCAATTAACTTAGTCCGAAATGGGCTTTAGGCCCATTAAGCTTTCAGGCTCACTTCCTTTTAATGCTGGCTAGCATGGCTCTCTTTGTATGGCGTGGGATCCTATCATTGTTCTACACATCAGCCACATGGGTTCAGCCCAGCATTGGTTACAAGGCCTGGCCGAATTCACTATAAGACAATGAACCCCTGAGTCCATCACATGGGCTCTTAATGGGCCCAACATTTACACTAAATGGTCATTGGGTTCAGCCATCTTATGAATGCCCAAGGGCTGTGGGCAAATGCAAGATTAGGCCATTAGGTATAAACCTCAATGGTCTTACACTCAACCTCTCAACCCTTAATGATCAAATACTGCTCGACAAGAGATGACCTCTCTCTTGGCTGCAAGGTACAGTGCTGCACTTTCTACTCACATGGATCCC